TCTGCCGTTTGCATTTCCCGTGGTCATAAAAGCTCCTTCCCTGTCATCTGACAGCGGAATACCTTGAGTGATTGACAGCTAAAATGAACCAATATAGCGGCAGGGAAGAGCGATTCAGCATGTTTTTACAAAAAATCAAAACAGGTCGCACTACAACCATTAATTATAAAAATTGATAAATAGATTAATTTTCGGGCAATTTCGAGCCCTGTAAGATGCAGGATGTAGCTGAGTGGCAGGCAGGGGCGGGAACAGCTTACCTTGGTTCTTCCCGCCCGTCACAGCGTCTAACAAAGGGGCGGGGTGCGTGGTGACGTCACCGGCATCCCCGCTCCTTTGTTTACACGGCGGGCGGGGAATGCCAGTGACCGCTGTGTACGGATAGAATCAGCGGAGCTGGAAGCGCTCTCTCTCCCCGCTCCGCTGATTCTGTCAGTGTACAGCGGTCGGCGCGGGCCACAAAATATTGCACTGAGGGCCGCAAATGGCCCGCGGGCCGCGAGTTTGAGACCCCTGGTGTAGATGCTTCTGTCAGTCTATGTGGCTCCTGTCTCTGTTCATCTAAAACTCCACATCTATAATCCTCTTAGTCTATGCTGACATTATCTTCAGCAGCTCAAACACTCTAATGGCTAATGGACAGACGGCTGCTTCTCACTCAGGGCTGCTGGACATGCTAATGAGATGGAGAGATGGGCACTAGTGGGCGGGGTTTTCTCCCTCTGATGACACGTACAAATGGGAGAATGACAATCACAGTGTTTCTGCATCAAGTCTGATCAGAACAAAGACAATTTATTGCAGGCTGGAGATATTCACACACTCCTGACACACAGCTGGGTTTAAACCTGACATAAAGGTGATTTAACAGCTGCTCTTCACTCACCGTTTGCTCATCCAGCAGTCTGTAGTCTAGATAAACCAGCTCTGGAAGGTATGCGGACACAAATGTCTTATACCTGTCCTCCTCACAGATGGGGTTTCCCGCCAGATTGAGGGTGCGCAAGCTCTGAAACCTTCTGAGGTAAATCACCTGCAGGATCAGACATCTGTGTTTGACTCACACTCATTAATCTCCTGTTGGGAACTAATTAGCGAACTGCTGATTAGCAGTATCAGATTCTATCAGCAGTCAGAATTACTCACCCTTCTGTGAATTTTCTTTGTCAAATATTTCCCAAATGATGTTGAACAGATTGAGGATTTTCTCACAGTACTTCCTCTAATATTTGCAACCCAGGCTCATTCCGAAAACGTAGTCCCGCGGACGTTTCTGGAGATCGCGATTTACGTGGCCGGCGGTACGTATGGCTGCATTTCATTTTTTCAAGCGAATATTACGGGGTGGTGTGATGCCGCTCCTCTTCGTGCTCGCTGGATGAGACAGCTCACCTCCGTGTGGAGGGCTTTCTCACCGCAACCAGTTTGTCCGGTTAGCTTGTCGAGTATGTTGGTGGAGTGTGAGGGAGCCAGTCGCGACAAGGGTGATGATCGGGTTCGAGTCCGGGGAAGTGCGGTTCCAGAAATCAGGGAAGGCAAAAAAAAAAAAATCCATTCATTCATGAGTTCATTACAGGGTGAGAATGCGGTCAAAAATCCGAAAACGTGGTAACAATCAGACGAGGACGCCTTTTGCGAATCTTCGTTAGTTGGGTTTAGGGAAGGAGAAGGGTGGGTCAGCCAATTGGCTGGTCGCACGGTCAATCATTCCATCATTCAGACAGACAGGCGGAAGGTCGTTCGACAGCGGCCTCTGGCGGGTTCACGGAAGAACAGTGCGGGCGCGAACGGTGCTCGCGAGAGATGTTCGAGATGCGAAAAAGCATGCACACAGCAGCCTCTCGCGGATTCGTGAAAACAAAAACTGCACAAATACGTACCACTTGGCACATATTTCGCGGTCTCCAGAAATGTCCGCGGGGCTACGTTTTCAGAATGAGTCTGGGTTGAATATTTGTTCTTCTGGAGAAAGTCTTACATGTTTTATTTGGGCTAGAATAAAAGGAGTTCTTAATTGTTTTAAACTCATTTTAGGTCAATATTTTTAGCGCCCTTTAGCAATATTTGTGTCACAATCACCAGCAATCTAACCCTTAAAGATCGCTGGTAAACACAGATCGCAACGGACTACAGATCCACCAGTACATGGACTACAACGTCCAGTCATGCACCGCTCACACACACCTGTTCCGAGTTCTGGTGATTACACACACACACACACACACACACACACACACACACACACACACACACACACACACAGCTGGAGCTCAACCTCCACTCATTACAGGGACTATAAATACCACACACACACACACACACATCAGTGCTGAGTCTTTACTGTAAACATTACGACGCGTTTCCCTTGCCTTGTCGTTTACCAATCTTTGCTTTGTTTTGTTTGTTTTACGTTGTCTGCTGCCTGCCTTTGACCATCCGCCTGATTTATGATCTCGACTCCGGATCGCCTGTGTACATCTGTTTGCCCCTGTGTTGACCGCTGCTTGCCTGACCAATCTCTGTTTAATAAACCTGCATTTAGATCCGCACCTCTCTCGTCAGACAACTTCACATTACAATTAGTGATGGATTGTCTCCAGAATAAACCACTGTTATACAATGACTTGCCTAATTACTCTAACTTTACCCTAATTACCCTAGTGAAGCCTTTACATGTCACTGTAAGCTGAACACTAGTGTCTTGAAGAAGATCTAGTATAATATTATGTGCTGTCATCATGGCGGAGACTAAATAAATCAGCTATTAGAGATGAGTTATTAACACTTATGATCAGAGGTGTGCTGGAGAAATCTGCTCTCTGATACACAGAAATTGGGGAAATACATTCAGGAGGGTGAATAACTCTGATTCTGAATTTACTCATGCTTCTGTGATTATACTGTCATGTAATAAATAGGATACTGCATATCTGTCTTACGTTCTCCAGCTGAGCGATGCTGTTGTTTCCGAGAGAGAGGACCTGCAGCCGCTGCAGTGTGTCCAGATTCTCAATCACTGAAATGCGGTTGTTGAACAAACTCAAATCCTGGAGCTTCACGAGAGTCTGCAGACCTTCAATCACCTCGATCTTATTGAATGACAGATCTGAGGAGCGCAGGAGATATTTAGACTCACACACACACACACACACACTCTCGCTCGCACACACACGCTCACCCAGCCAGGTGAGATTGGTGAGGTTTTCTAGTCCTTCTATCCTCTCGATGGCGTTATTATCCAGCTGCAGCTTGGTCAGAGAGCTGAAACTCCACAGGTGATAGATCTTCAGGATGTCTACAAATACAGCAGTTTTATTAAATGATGTCACCATATATCAGTCTGCCCCCCCCCCCTTCTTTGCATTTACAGCTGTATATGAGCTATAAACGTTTGTGAGAAATGCTGGTGTGTGTGTGTGTGTGTGTGAGTCTCCTCACTCCTGTAGTCCAGCCGCAGCTCCAGCACCTCCTCCAGCTGTATCCCCTCTGTGTATCTGGTCTGCTGCTCCTCCACCGCGCGCTGCAGCATCTGCTCGTCGATGACTCCGGGCTCCTCCTGCTGGCCGCTCATCATGCGCCCTGACAGGCGGAGATTAGCGATAGACAGCGGATCATCAGGGATAGACACGGCATCAAGTGTATGAAAACAGCTGCATACAATATCACTCACATGTTCCTATATCTGATTGATTACAGACCTGTCTGGAAATATTGCTCTGTAGCTGTAGCACACGACGGCTGCACGACGCTAACACCGGCGCTAAGCAACCAACTAACAACATCCGGAATATTTTGGAGAATCAGTTGATGTTAGAGGGGATACAGCTGCGACTAGATGTTAATTCATATGAATAACTAAGTGACCCATTCGATTGTATTTTATTAAACCCACTCCCCAATATCATATTATTTATTAAATCATCCATACGATGGTATTTTTTAACATCTACCCCTACCCTTACCCTAAAAACAACCCTCACAGTAATGTTAAAACAGTAATTAAACGTTTATTATTCATATAATCACATATAAGATGATTCTTTATAACGTCTATCAATACCCCAAGCCTCACAGTAATGTAAAAATATGAATTATTGATGTCAATGTCACAAAAACGAAGCTGCATTGACGTGAGTGTCCGCAGCTGTATCCCTTCTAGACTTCACCTCTCGGTTGTTGACGTCACAAAACAAAATACATTAACATCGCTAAACAAGATTACTTTATTTTTTATTGCACATATAAGTACATACAAGGCAAAATTAAAATAAACACGTTCACCAACATTTACAGAACAGAGCACAAATATTCGGGGATAGATAAAACCTGCCATTTGCACTAATGTTACGTGACTTGGATGAATACTCATGAATATTCATGCTACAGTTTAGTTTCTGACACATATATATATATATATATATATATATATATATATATATATATATATATATATATATATATATATATATATATATATATATATATATATATATATATATATATATATATATATATATATATATATATATATATATATATATATATA